CGGGATCGGTTCCCCAGTCTTTTTCCCTTCATTTCAGCCGGCTACAGCAAACCCTCAATTCTTTTGTTTGGAGAATATGAAATTCAATCATCAGAGGGTTTTCAGCAGGGTGACCCACTCGCTCCGATTCTCTTCTGCTTGGCAGTAAGAGAACTAATTTCCAGCCTACGCAGTGAGCTCAATATCTGGTACCTGGATGACGGCACTCTGGCAGGTACTGAAGATTCGCTGGTGGTGGACCTACAACTGGTGAAAACACTGGGAGAATGACTTAGGACTCATCCTTCAATCCTCCAAGTTTTAAATCATCACAGCAACCAGAAATAAAATCAATGCTGTGCGAAGAATCCCTCCCGGAAGTCCTCAACTACCACTCCGTTCAACAGTACCCTCTTTGGGGGCACCGCTTGGGGTCACCAGGCCATCGACACTGTCCTCAGGGACAAATTGAATGCCACTATGAGAATGAGGGAGCTAATAAGCGATCTTTGATGCCCATGATGCTCTGTATCTCCTCACAAGGTGTCTTACTATGCCTAGACTCACTTACGTCTTGAGATTGCACCCTCATTTACAACACCAACACTACACTCGATGAATATGACCGCACACCTTAGATCAACTTAAGAAGGCACTGAACCTGTCACTGAGAGTAGTGAGCAATGGGATGCTCATATGTATGAAACTTTCCTCTCCCTCCCGAGAGCGATCTATGCTGGTCGTATAGGTGCTTTTCTGTCTTCGTGTTTGGCTTCCCCCGGGTGCATATAGTCAAGAAGATATTAAACCCCCGAACTCTTGAAGACCGTTGTATGAGCTCAAGACCCCCATTTTTACTGAAGCAGAGATTCGTTGGGACACCCTTACCAGACTCCTCCAGTAGACCAGCCTCCTCCCAAACAGCACAAACAGTCCCACTGGGATAACCGGATCATGGAAAAAATCGCCAACACAATACTCCCCAATCTTCAGGAAAGGACATAGCTCGGTCTCCTGGCAGTGAAGGCACACAACTCAGGAGATTTTCCTGATGTGTTGCTCCCCCCCCCCTTCCCTAGCCGCCCCCATCCTCACCGGAACAATAGGTGTACTTTGCGGCAGGGCGAACAGCTGATCAATATTCGGACTTCATGGTTCTTAGTGTCACACAAGCAGAAGGAATATGCCAGACATGAGGAGGTCATGACATCATAAAGAGAAGCTCGCCACAGCCCTTGCCAGCTCACGGAACCCCAAGTAACAGAGGTCTGATGGAAGTCAAAAAGCGTCCTGATGGAGCCAACTAAGCTACGCCCTGGAAGGATGGAAAATCAGATTGCCGTGTGAACTACAACACCTGAGCTGCCACATTGGCATACACCGACTTGCCATACCACCGTAGTGAAGGGGTGGACTGCCAGCCACAGGGAGACCCATAAGTATCCGAAAAATATGAATACCCTTTATCCCCCTTTGCTATAACTCATTCCAATAGGGACGGAAGACCCCATGGAGCATGGGGCAAGTTGCTCATAAAGTTCCTCAAAGAGCTTGGTGAAAAAGCTCATCACAGAAACCAAGACCAAAAGGGCACCAGCTTTCTCTTTTCAGAGACTCAGGTTGCGAATCCAGAAGAGAATTCCTGCCAGCATTCTGGGTCACACGGCCCACCTGCAGTGGAGCTGGACGAAGTATTCGAGATGTAGCTATGAGTTAGCTTATGTTGTATTGCTTCTTGCATTTTGTGAATGTTGGCCAATTATTTTTGTCTTTAAATAAAACATACTTGAAATATAGGGGGTGGAGGATGAAAATTCTCTAAACACTTCAGGTAAACTTGAGTTTTCCTGAAGCAAGTTTATTCTTTTCTCTTGAGGATGAGGGTCCCCATGACAGTTCTGGAGGTGTTACCTGTAAATATATATATATATATATATATATAATATATATATATATATATATATATATATATATAATATTATATATATATATGTCGTGCCGACTAGGCATAACTTGCGATCGCGGCATAAATAGCAACGCTCATCTTGCCATATAGGACAATCGAAAATTTGTGTAAGCAATAAATTTCGCCAAAATCATTCTTAACCTAACCGAAAGAAAAATATATTTCCCTGTGTTGTTAGTAATAAAATAATTGTAAACAAATCTAAATAATATTTAGTTTGGTGGGTAGAGCTTAAAATAAAATGCGCATGTTATAATAAGGTTAGGTAAGTTTTCCTAAGATTCTTTGGTGAAAATTTAAAATTTTTTTACATTAACATTTGTAGATGAATGGTTCAGAAACCGACAATGTTTGATAATTTAGACACATTTCAACTCTTGGGTATCTTTATTGAGGAAACGTTTCGCCACACAATTGCTTTTCATCCAGTCCATACAAAGGAGAATCTTGAAGAACCGGAGAGAATAGGTAATCAGTCCCTCACCCTTGAGTCGATTTGGTCAGTCCCATCATTGCCGATCAAGATTGTAAGGACTTGACCACATACGACTCAAGGTTTGAGACTATTTACCTCAATTCTCCTCCTGTTCTTCAGATTCTCCTTTGTATGGACTGATGAAGCCGACTGTGTGGCGAAAACGTTTCCTCGAATAAAGATACCCAAGATTGCACATGTGTCTGAATTTAACTACAATAACATTAAATGACAAAATAGATCTTTAAAAGGTATAATGAGAAAATTTTAGAAAGGACTTAATATTTAAATGAGTTCTTGCTAATTGACCATTTTTAATACATAGTCGGCACGACTAATATATGTATATATATATATATATATATATATATATATATATATATATATATATATATATATATGGCAAGGAATCGGCGAGAGCATCGAAATAACACAAACACTGATCTCTGGGCTGAAGGAGACTCGAACCTACGAACCTAAGAACAAGGATACGCAGTGCTTTACCAATCTATCCACATTGTCCCAGTGTGTATAGATTGGGTAAAGCACTGCGAACCTGTCCTAAGTTCGTAGGTTGCGAGTCTCCTTCATCCAGAGATCAGTGTTATATATATAATATATATATATATATATATATATATAATATATATATATATATATATATATATAGAATATATATATTATAAATGCAAAACAACCACTGTAGAAGAATAGTGAAATTCCAAGCGTTTCGTGAATTCTCACATTATCAAGGAACTGTTTCCTTGCATGTGGACTGGAGAATAGTGCCTTTAAAAACGTAATTCTTTGCCTCCTTCTTTCAATTGTGTACCTACTTCAGATGCCCTTCACCTCTGGGCACTAGCCCTATACCTAACATCAGCTTAGTTAAGCCTCATTTTCTAGGGCCGCGAAACCTAGCTTCTGCAGCTTTCAGCTCGTGGCACCGCATTACTTCTCTGCCTCCATTCTCTTCTCCATTTTTGCCATAAAGCTCGCCTAGTTTGCTTTCCCACTCTTAATTCCATCCTTTTACATTGCTCTTTCATTAATTTCTTCCCTTCTGGGTCCGCTCTTCCTCTCTGATCCCCTGTAGTCTACGACTATTTCCTGTATGAGTGTATGTGTATCACCCATATTTGTACTCACCTGATTTGTACTCTCCTTATGAGGTTGCAAGTGTCCCCCCCCCCCCCCCCCCCCCCCCCCCCCCCCCCCCCCCCGAGATAATGTCACCCGACCCGCCTTCTTTCAATTTTCGCTACAAGCTTTACCATACCTCGACTTAAAACTATGTATGGTTCATGCCTCCACTACGTCACTAGCCAGACTATTCCACTTCCTGACAACTCTATGACTAAAGAAATACTTCCTAACATCTCTTTGACTCATCTGAGTCTTCAACTTCTAATTGTGACCCCATGTTTCTGTGCCCCATCTCTGGAACATCCTGTCACTGTCTACCTTGTCAATTCCTTGCAGTATTTTGCATCTCATTATCATGTCTTCCCTAACCCTCCTGTTATCCAGTGTCTTCAGGCCAATTTCCCTTAAGCTTTCTTCGTAGGCCATTCCCATTATCTCTGGAACTAACCTTGTTGCAAACCTTTGCACTTTCTCTAATTACTTGACATGCTTGACCAGGTGTGGGTTCCAAACTGGTGCTTCATACACGGTGTACAGTGTCTTGAATGCCTCTTTATTCAGGTGTCGAAACGCTGCTCATAGGTTTGCTAGGCGCCCATATGCTGCAGCAGTTATTTGGTTGATGTGCACCTTAGTAGATATGCTCGGTATGATACCCCAAGATTCTCTTCCTTGAGTGATATTTGTAGCCTTTGGTCACTCTAGCTTGTTTTCCATCTGCAGTATTCCTTTATCCTCTCCAATCTTCATGGTTTTTAACTTGGTGGGGTTAAACTCCAGGAGCCAGTTGTTGGACCACGCTTGCAGCCTATCCACATCCCATTGTAGCAATATATGATTCTCATCCGATTGAATTCTCCGCATTAGAAAAGAGGGATACCTCTGATCTAACCCTTCCGTCATGTCATTCACATATACCAGAAACAGCATCGGCCATAGGACTGACCGTTGTGGAACCCCGCTAGTCACAGGCGCTCACTCTGACACCTCCTCACGTACCATCACTCGTTATTTCCTTCCCATCAGGTATTCTCTGATAGATTGTTGTACCTTTTCTGTTATTCCTGTCTTCTCCTCTAGCCGTTGCACTAATCTTTTGTGCGGAGCTGTGTTGAAAGCCTTCTTGCAATCCAAGAAAATGAGACCTACCCACCCCTCTCTCTCCTGTCTTATTTTTGTCACCTTGTCGCAAAGCTCAGTAGGTTTGTGATAAAGGATTTCCCATCTCTGAAACCTTGCTGGTTATCGTGTATAAGCTTATTCATTGCTAGGTGTGTGCGTGTGTGTGTGTGTGTGTATGCGTGTATTTTAAGTTAGTTACCATTTGTCAAAGGCACTTGTCGCTAAAATCTGTTTGTGGTTGCAGGGGTCGATTTGTGTGTGTGTGTGAGAGAGAGAGAGAGAAACTGACTTATCAGAACCCTAAGAACTGACCTGATGGTGAGTGATCTCTGGCTGGTCAAGTTCCTGGTGACGCTCCACCTGGCTGCTGGCTCCCTGGCGTAGCAATTCTCCGTCTGGCATCACTGTAGGGACAAACATGACAAAACTCTCAGTGTACATAGAACATAATGTACACTGGTTAATGGTACAAACGAATCAGGGTGGAAAGCTGAAATATTACTATATTAACTAACGGTGAAGCACTAAACCCTCAGGGACGGTACTGCGCCTACGTTATGGGAGTTGAAGAGGCTTGATTTGAGAAAGGGGAAGGCGAAGACCTTTTCAAAACTCGTCACCAATGTTCAGTATAATAATTACATTGTAGGTTCCTTAGGCCTCACTGAGGCCCTCTTCAGCAAACTGCAAAGTGTACATAAGATTGAAGTTCATTTTCCAGTCAGTTCACATGACCCAAGTCATGGACATAAATGATGCATCTCAGAACAAGGACAGAAGGACGCAGGTTTCTACTGTTCTTGTAAAATTTTGAAAATAGACCATCATGCTATTTTAATCGACTTAATTTTTTACTTATATACATGATTTGTAAATTAAAATTCTTGCTTTAATATTACGATTATTATTATTATAATTATTATTTTTATTATTATTACTATTTTAATTGTCATTATTACTATTGTTATTATCATTATTATCATTAAATTTCTTGAGAAATGCTAAATCTGTATGGGGTTTCGCATAACTGTAATTGTCAAGAAAATATTTTAGGCTTCATTAACACAATACTTTTCTCAAACTCGAAAACATCGATTGACTGAACTCTAAAAAGGGCATAAAAAATAGTTGGCCCACGAATTTCAAAATGAACGTAAGAAAAGATTCACAAGGAACCAAGAGTTTGGAAAGGATTCTTAATATTTATATATTGATTCCCATAAGCGTATTTACTGTGCCTACTAATCAGTGAAATAAGTCTGCTCTGATTACTAAAGATCGTGGAGAAATAACCAAAGCATGTATGTCTAGAAGTAAATACACATAAATCTAAATGGGCTGTGAAAACATGCAATTATTTAATTTTTTTTAACTTGCACTAACTGTGTTACTGTAGACAACAAGAGCATTTCACCCCTCCATGGAAGATGTGTTCATTGAATACCATATACTTACAAGCCCCTCCCAAGAAGCTCATTACTAGTAAACCCTTCCTTAGATTATTTGTAATTTCTCGTCTAACTAATAGAAAAAATTTAGCACAAGCTATATACACTGATGGATCTAAGCAGGAGTCTACTGGCAGAGCTGCGTCTGCTCTTGTTGCCATCTTCCTAGTTAAGAACAATAGGAACTTTGTTGAGTTAGGGATAAGAATTAACAATTCGGCGTCAACACCGCAAATTGAATTGTTTGCTATCCTAATGGTGCTAAAATTAAGTTAAGACACTGAGCTTGACTATATAATTATTACTGATTCTATGTCATCACTGATGGGTCTTGACTCACATACTGACTCTAACAACATGCTATTTAAAGACAGACATAGATATTCAGAAATCCGGGAAAAGAGAATTAATGTACAATTGTTATGGATTCCACCACGTATAGGAATACTCCTTCACTATACAGTTGATACATTAGCTAGAGCACCCAGAAGGAGAACGTAAAATATAACTTTGGTATATCTGTGTCTAGCATTAGGAATAATATTAGGAGAGAAGTAAATAATGAAACTGGATGTTATAGGACTGCAATTAAAAGGCTGAGTAGGTCTACAACCCACTATGATAACATGAACGTAGATAAATACGTTTATGGAGCAACTTGTATTGTGAACAGACTGAGTGATGTTGTAGTGGTCAGGCTTAGTCTTGGTTACAAGTACTTCTGGCAGTTTGGCAGAAACACATGATGATTAAACCAAATGTAAAGTATGTGGCCAGTCCTGTGGTCACTATCAATAAGTGGACAATTAAGCACTGTGTGTTTAACTGTTCACTTATTGAGGAATATAGAGACAGTGTAATAACTTATGTGACACGTTATATCTTATTATTGAAAATAAGATACCATATATATATATATATATATATATATATATATATATATATATATATATATATATATATATATATATATATATATATATATATATATATATGCTTAATGCTTCAAATGATGATGTAGTTGAAGTTTTAGCAGTAAAGATCAAGAACCAAAATCTAGTCGTTGTGGTAGTCTACAAGCCTCCGGATGCAACGTCCCAACAATTCCAGGAACAACTGTTGAAAATTGATCACTGTCTGGAAAATCTTCCAGCTCCTGCCCCCAACATCTTGCTCCTGGGAGATTTCAACTTAAGGCATTTAAAATGGAGGAATATAGCAAATAATATTGTTGCAGTGATAACACCAGGAGGCAGCTCAGACGAGATTATTATTATTATTATAATCAAGGGGGAAGCGCTAAACCCGGAGGATTATACAGCGCCTGGGGGGGGGGATGTGGAAGGCATTCAGGCTTAATTCGGGGAACTGGAGCACAGATCAAATTCCCTAAATCAAGAGCCCCTCATCAACATCAAGGAACCTTCCTTGAGGGGAGCTCAGACGAGAGCTCACACACACGAGCTTTTAAAATCTTTGCATAAAATTCAACTTAAACCAGCAAATAATAGAGCCTACTAGATTGGAGAATACACAAGACCTCATCTTCACTAACAACGATGATCTGATACGAAATGTTACCATATCAGAAACAATATACTCAGATCACAACATAATCGAGGTTCAGACATGTATGCGCGGAGCCCCAGACCGACAAAATGGGATCAGTCACGAGGGAGCCTTCACCAAATTCAGCTTCAGTAACAAGAACATAAAGTGGGACCAAGTAAACCAAGTCCTAAACGATATAAGCTGGGAAGACAGACTAAGCAACACAGACCCCAACTTATGCCTAGAACAGATTAATTCTGTGGCACTCGATGTATGCTCAAGGCATATTCCTTTAAGAAAACGGAGGAGTAGATATAAAATAGAGACAGGCGCTCCCTTTACAGGCGACGGAAAAGAATAACAGAGCGGCTAAAAGAGGCCAATGTACTGTATCTTCAATGCGTAGGGAGTCACTGGTCAGAGAAATAGCAAACATCAAACTAAAGCTACAGGAATCCTATAGGAATCAGGAATCGCGGGAAAAACTAAAAGCCATAAATGAAATCGAAAGAAACCCAAAGTATTTCTTTTCTTATGCCAAATCAAAGTCGAGAACAACGTCCAGTATTGGGTCCCTACTTAAACAAGATGGGTCAGCTTTTAGCAAGCCGCTAACCAGACTGAGAGTCGAAGATCTAGAGGATTTTTTTTATGAGAGAGCCACAGAATTTGGTAAACACAAGCCTATTTGATGTTATCCTGACGCCAAATGACTTCGAACAGGCGATAAATGACATGCCCATGCACTCTGCCCCAGGGCCAGACTCATGGAACTCCGTGTTCATCAAGAACTGCAAGAAGCCCCTATCACGTGCTTTTAACATCCTGTGGAGAGGGAGCCTGGACACTGGGGTCGTCCCACAGTTACTAAAAACAATAGACATAGCCCCACTCCACAAAGGAGGCAGTAAAGCAATAGCAAAGAACTACAGACCGATAGCGCTAACATCCCATATCATAAAAATCTTTGAAAGGGTCCTAAGAAGCAAGATCGCCGCCCACCTACATACCCATCAATTACACAGCCCAGGGCAACATGGGTTTAGAGCAGATCGCTCCTGTCTGTCTCAAATACTGGATCACTACGACAAGGTCCTAGATGCACTAGAAGACAAAAAGAATGCAGATGTAATATATACAGACTTTGCAAAAGCCTTCGACAAGTGTGACCATGGCATAATAGCGCACAAAATGCGTGCTAAAGGAATAACAAGGAAAGTTGGTGGATGGATCTAAAATTTCCTCACAAACAGAACACAAAAAGTAGTAGTCAACAGAGTAAAGTCTGAGGCGGCTACGGCGAAAAGCTCTGTTCTGCAAGGCATAGTATTCACTCCCATCTTGTTTCTCATCCTCATATCTGACATAGACAGTGATGTCAGCCACAGCACCGTGTCTTCCTTTGCAGATGACACCCGAATCTGCATGACAGTGTCTTCCACTGCAGGCACTGCAAGGCTCCAGGTGGACATCAACCAAATCTTTCAATGGGCTGCAGAAAACAATATGAAGTTCAACGATGAGAAATTTCAATTACTTCGATATGGTAAACATGAGGAAATTAAAACTTCATCAGATTATAGAACAAATTTCTGCCACACAATAGAGTGAAAAACTAACGTCAAGGACCTGGAATTGATCATGCTGGAGGATCTCACCTTCAAGGACAATAACATTGCATAAATCGCATCTGCTAGAAAAATGACAGGATAGATAATGAGAACCTTTAAAACTAGGGATGCCAAGCTCATGATGACACTCTTCAGGTCGCTTGTTGTATCTAGGCTGGAATATTGCTGCACACTAACAACACCTTTCAAGGCAGGTGAAATTGCTGACTTAGAAAATGTACAGGGAACCTTCACGGCGCGCATAACGGAGATAAAACACCTCAGTTACCGGGAGCGCTTGAAGTTCCTCAACCTGTACTCCCTGGAACGCAGGCGGGAGAGATACATGATTATAAACACCTCGAAAATCCTAGAGGGACTAGTACCAAACTTGCACACGAAAATCACTCTCTACGAAAACAAAAGACTCGGCAGACGATGCAACATCCCCCCAATGAAAAGTAGGGGTGTCACTAGCACGTTAAAAGAAAACACAATAAGTGTCAGGGTCCCAAGACTGCTCAACTGCCTCCCAGCATACATAAGGGGGATTACCAATAGACCCCTGGCTGTCTTCAAGCAGGCACTGGACAAGTACCTAAAGTCGGTATTTGACCAGCCGGGCTGTGGCTCGTACGTTGGATTACGTGCAGCCAGCAGTAACAGACTGGTTGATCAGGCCATGATCCACCATGAGGCCAGGTCACAGACCGGGCCGCGGGGTCGTTGACCCCCGGAACTCTCTTCTAGTAACTCCAGGTATATATATATATATATATATATATATATATATAT